TTTTTGAATAAAAATTAATAAAATTACTATTGTTGATCATTGACATTTTCAGTAATGATTTCCCCTTGAAAATTGAAGCGTATATGTGTCCCCCACCATACGAATCAGTAGTTCCACAGCAATCGTGATGACGTATGTCTTTGTAATAGAATCACTTGATTGGGCGATCCGCCAGAATAAATTCCTATTATTTCCTTGTTAACAATGTCTGCATATTCATAGATAGAGACAAAGGCCAGGAACAACCAACATTGGAAATATTATAAATTTGAATTGATTAAATCAAGGCAAGTTTTAATACTCATCGAGTCACTCAATAAAAACATTAACGAAGATTATAATAAACAATGTCAATTCTTTATTCTCATTTGCAACTGATTTAAGTTGTTACAAACTTATGAGTTTCTTTCGAGAATAACATAGCAAGTGTAGCACTCATGTCGAAAAGTAATTATACGTCTATTACTATATAAGTAAAGTTAAATAAATTGGTAATTTTAAATGCAAAATAACAAACGCTTGGCGTTATATAAATATACTAATATAAATACTGACAACGTCAGCGATATCTATACATAAAAACAAAAACTAGGGATAACAAACATTGTATGTCAAGTCTAAGAATGTCTCTCTCCCGTACCAACAGAATCCAATCACAACTAATTTTTTGAGTAGTTTTAAAATGTTCAGATTCAAAGATTACGTAAAGTGATAATAGCAACGCCAATCCTTTATGATTGGCTCAAGAACCATCATTGTTTTGTCTACAAATTTTGTGACATAGCAATTGTAACGACTTTATACAATAAGCGCTTATGACGAAAAGTCATCAATATTACGCAATTCAAGTGATTGAACTGTCGACCCCTTGATTTTCAGTCAAGCCTTAAGGGGGGGGGGGGAGATAGGAACAGATAAATCTGTGCGACAACCGATTTCTATATATATTCAACAAATCATTTCTTTTAACACCTTGTCTATTCAAACTCGTATTATCTCTACTGCACCCCCCCTTCTCCTTTTCTTGTACTCTATACTCTGTCAAAAACTTACACCGTCTCTCTGCTACTTTACTCGTTCCCCTCTTGTGCGAACAACGAGATAATAAACTCTTATTTTTTTCGAAACGCAAAAAAAAAAAATCAATCGAAGCGATAATCATTTGCTCGTGTGAATCAAATTTCCACCAAAAACCATGGATAGAGAAAATGAACACTTGCCAGAAACGGCTATTTTCCCGTCAGTCGATGTCGTAAAGAAAGAATGGAAAAGGATAACGTAATCACCTTTTTACAAAAAGAGGACTTGAACTTAGATCTTGACGACGAGGATATTGAGATAATCAGAAGTAAAAAAGTTAGTGGTAACGACTTTCTCGACCTGGCTGCAGAAAAACTTGAAAATTATGGATTGCAACAGGGCCGGCTTTTAGGATTGCGAAGCTAGTCAAGAAAATCAGAGGCGAGCAAGGTGTGTTACAAGATGTAATTTTTTGTCCATCTCTGTCACATTCGCCGAATACTTACTTATTCTTGTGCTTTTCTTTCCTGCTTATCGTCAAAAAACACATTTACGTTATCACAGATCAACCCGATACCGGTAAGTGAGTCGTAATAAATTTGGTCAACGCATTTAGGCATAGTCATTCTTTTATTCTTGTTTGTGTGTCGTGTTATAATCTTAATATGGTGACCTTTTCTTATAGTAAGAACTTTGTCTGGATCTAAGGAAACTTATATATTTCATCGATGACTCGAATTCATATATCGAAGGAAAATATGTAACCGGTGAACCTGAAAAAATGGGTGTGGTATGAATCAAACTTACATTAATCGAAGATGTATCACTAACTGAAGATGTAACATTAACAATTTTTACAAACACGATCTTTCTAGGGAGAAAGGGCTGGCATAAGGCAATTGACCAAAAGTCACGTGATAAAGAATGTATGCACCGAGTTCGTAACCAGAAGGGATAAAATTTATCAGCTCTATAAATTTTCCTATCATCATCAGAAGTGGTGACACATGACCAGTGGGTTGAAGGAGAATATGCGAAAGAACAAGTAGCGAAGGAGATCATCAATGCACTCTTACAAGAAATGAAGCTAAATACATAGCGTAAAGTCTCCACAGGTTCAGAAAATTTTCTTGAAGTTATCGCCCGGCTAATAGATGTCAGTATGTACCGTTTGCCTGTCGAATGTGACATTGAAATTGCAAGAGCTGAACGACGGAGTCAAACAATCGAAGATTGTCGACAAGAATCAAGAGGGAATAAACCAAATATTATAATTCGTAGTATTTTTCGTAACAAATGGGAGGAATTAGTATATATTGAGAGTGGGAGGTGGAACTGTGATAATAAAAAAATTTGTAGAGATCATAATAAGTTAGTGCAACTTTGTATAGACGGGGTGAAGAACTTTTTAAGATATGCGATAGAGAAGCTTTTGGTAAAAAATATATAGGGTTTGGAGTTAATATTGCGGGTAACCATATCGAAATATCTGGGCTAATACGTCAAGACAATATCAAATACTATCTTCCGGTTTCGAGAGCCAAAATACCTTTCGGGGAAGAATCAGTCGAGGAAGTAGAAGACTTTATCCATGCTTTATTGACTTTACGGGTAAATATGTTTATTCACGCAAAGCTGATTTTATGCTACCCGATGCTAACTATAATACTTGTCTTCTTAGAATAGAATTATTGTGAACGCACAATGTATTTCCAACAAAGATCTAGGAAAAATAGTGGAGGAAGACTAAAGAAAAAGCCGCAATTTTCTAATCTTGTATTTTTGTATCGACAAAGGCAATATTCTATATACGCACCTTTCTCCCGTGATTATACTATTAATAATGTAACCATCCCCATCACCAGTAGTTTAGATAACTTTCCTAAAGTCAATGGCGTAACTGTTGTTTCTGTATGATCTCGAAAGAGTGTTCATATACAATATTAAACAATGAATCTTTTTTCATGAATTGTATTTACATAAACAACAACAATCTATCTACCGCGGAATCGAAGGGGAAATTTTCTTTTTCTAATTTTAAACAGGGCAAACTTCGATTTAGGGTTTGACTAGTCAGGGATGTTACTTATCTAATTATAACAACAAAGAATTTAAATTATCAATCGAGATACTCTTGCTTTACCGCAACTACGGGTCGTTA